TCAAGCACACCCCCTTCATTTCCCAATCAAAAGTAGAAAAAGTGGTGGGTGTACAAAATGTTCTTTTCAGGATCAACCTCATTTTTTGTTTGGGTTAATTGCCAAATAAACTTCGACCTTTACACTTTTGGCAATTTAATCCAAACTTTCGCATAATTGCAATATAATCTCTACCTTGTCTTACTTTTGCAAAATCGACTTAAAACCCGTCGGACGGCCAAAACATGCCAGTGTGTCCGGTTGTTTGTATATACGTGTAATTTTCAGTTTGCTCAGTCAGATTAATTAAAGTACGTGGAATTTCATAGGAAAAGAGTATAAAAACCCGTTCCCCTTCCCAATTTCAGAAATTTCCAAATCAAATTAACCCGATTTCAAAGAAAATCGATCTCGACAAAAAAATCAAACCCTACAACTGAAATCTTGTCTTTGTATCAAGAATCCGCAACAAAGTTGTCCCAATTGCATGCGAGTTTGTGTTTCTGCGTTCCAGATTTCTTATCGTCCTGCGTTAGATATTCCTTATATGTCGGGAAGATGAAAGACATGTGCTCCGAATGTTTTCTATTCTTTCTTTCTTTCTTCTGCAATTTTTATTTCGATATTTCGAAAGTCTGGTCTTATATTTATGATTCGATTAGAAATTACATTTTTCTTGGAATTTAGGTCTTTTTTTGTGAAATTAGGGTTCTTTTTTGGAAAATTAGGGCTTTTCTGAACAATACGTTTTTTTGGGGAAACTAGGGTTTTTTCTCAATAATTAGGTTTTTTGGGAGAAATTAGGCCTTTTCTGAACGATTAAGGTTTTTCTAAATAATTAGGTTTTTTGGGAGAAATTAGGGCTTTTCTGAACAATTAGGGTTTCTTTTTTTGGAAATTTAGAATCTTATGCAATTCATTTATTGATGTTATCTTATTTATTTATATGTTCGTATTGCAGTGAAAAATTTTCAATTTTTGTAAACTATGGAGGGCAGTTCATTAAATGTGGAACTTCTGTTGAGTACTTTTTTCATCTGTTGAGTACTTTTCAATTTTTGGTAGTGGAAAATTTTCAATTTTCATAAGTTGATGATAGAAAAGTTGGATAAGTAGTCTTTTCTCATCTTAGATATTTTGGTACTAAAAGACAAATAAAATAAAAAAATATCTCCAACCAATAATTCCATCCACATCCATATATATTCAATATCAAAACGGCACTGCTCTAATGGAAACTGGTATCTTGATGCAACAAGGGCCCCTCGCCATGGACATTATATGCATTATTGCATCTCCAGAAAAGCATATGTATACTCATACACATTATTTTTAATTAGTAATCAACCTGTACATTTGCATAGAAAAGAATACTTAAAAAAATAACAATATAAAAAATAAAAATAAATTATAATTTAATTCATAAAAAAATATAAATTAAGAAAATAATTCTCAAAATTGATTCTGATAATGTAATTGCTATGAAAGAGTCGTTGCAACCATTTTCTTTATGCTAATACATCCGACCATTTTCATGAGTGAGTGTGACTTAAAATTTGAGTATAATTTTATAACTCCCTTGATTGGTTTATGATCATAATTTATGGCATTCAAACAAGTTATTTTGTACCTTAAAAATGATATTGAATGTTGAAAATTTTGGAGGAATAATAAAATTTAATGCATGATAATATAATTAAATGGTATATTGCTCCTCTTTATATTTATATAGATGTAATTTATATTCTTAAATTTCTTTTATTATAACTTAAGTAAGATCGTATGGAGTATTTTGTTTTATGAAACTAATACAAACATTTTTATCTAAAATTAATCAAAAAGCTAATACAACATCCTTCAGTTTGTTGTGAATCTATTGGATGAGATTAGTTTATGGAACTATAAATAATTACATTAACAAATGTTGTATTTTACACGTATGTTAAAATAAATAAGCTTTAAATAAGTATGAATACATTAATTTATAAATTACTATATAACAAAGTCATCGACTGACTTAACTGAATTAACGCTAACTATTGGAATTGGTTTACACGAGTTCAGTTTGATTCGTACATTTTGAGCATAAAAAAATGACTTTTTTTAATTATAATAATACAATTTTCACCCAAATAAATTTACTTTTCTATTTTTATATAATGAATAAATTTAATATGACAAAGAATATTTTCACTGACATATCAACATATTTCTCTAAAACATAATAAATAATTATGATGTAATAAAATATTGTAAAACAATGATTGAAAAACATGAATATGTGACTGAATAAATAATAAATTTTATAAATAAATGTGTATTAATTATTAACTTTAAACTTAAAATTATATTGAAAAATGTAGACGGAGCAAAGAGAAAATATAAAATGAATAGATTTTTTTTTTGTTCTCAAATGAATAGAACTAGTACAACATCCGTGTATTACACAGATGTTTGTTAAAAAATTATTCTTAAATTTTAAAATTAATGAGAAAAATTATTTTAAATTTTATTTAATTTTTTACGAAAAAATATATATTTCTATATATTTTAGAATGACACTTGTTACTTGTGCGACTTACATGTGTTTTATTATAGTAATATTTATAACTTATATCATATAACTACTTTAAATATAAATATATTAATTGATAAATAATTTTATTTTTCTAATTAATATTAAAAGAAATTTATTATTGTTATAAAAATAAATATAATTTTTTTTATACAATATGGATGTTAAATCGAAGCTCATCAAGAGATAATTAATTTAATATATTATATACTAGTACGGCACTCGTGTACTACACGGGTTGTTTGGAAAAAAAAAATATAAAACAATAAATAATATAAAAAATACATGTTGTCATATAAAAGTGCAAAAATAGAAAACAAAAATATTCAAGCTCTATATAATTTGACAATTTAAATTAAACCCAAAGTAATGTTTTATATAAAATTAAACTATTTTAGTTTAAAAAATTAATATTTTTTACATATACTTCCTAATTCGACACCCGTGTATTTACATGGGTATTTGTGTTTAAATATATTTTTTTAGGCTTGTTGGATTAGTGAAAAGGAAATTGATTGTTGAGATAAATGCAAAACAAAAGACTATATTTGATCATCTTGTATATCTACAGGGGAAAACAAATCTAACTCTATTCGCATAACCAGACATACCAAATTAAGGATTTTCTAGAAATTTCTTAAAGATAATGCAGAGGATAAAATGCATTGTTGACATGGCCAGAACTAACACAAACAAATTACAATTCAAGGAGAGGCAATAATAACAATTTATTTATATATATATATATATATATATATATATATATATATATACTGACAATAATTGATGTAATAAAATAACTCGAATTATAATACCTATAGCTCATATGATAATAATCAGAAGGGGCATACGAAGGATAAGGTGTTGAATTGAAACCACCGTGTACCTTTCCGTCTAAGACACAAATCTCCATTGCAACACGATTTTCAGGTTCTTGTCATGTTTGAACCATATACGCTCAATTGTGTTGGAAAACAATTGTCATGGTAAATTCAATTTTTTGTCAGATGAATAATTGAGATGAAGGGGCTATGTGAAATAACATCAACCTTACCTTCAAAAGACTCCAATGAATCGATCGACTTGATCTCAACTCTTAAGTCCCCATAGTTGAGCGAGACATCTTCTCTTTGATGGCCTTCATGGTTAAGTCACATCAACAACACGGAAAAAAGAATTTAAATTAAAAAAGTGCCATCCAAGCTCTATATTCTAATTCAAATCAGATAATACCTCCTAAATGCATTAAATCATTAACATCATCCAAAAAAGTGGAAATAAATGTAAAACTTTCAAGAGGAAATACCAAAAGTAAGAAATATGATTGTTCCATCAATTCTCTCCTTCCTGCATGTATTGTAACCTTCCAATTGTACGTTAAACACTACAGAATAAACAGCCCTAGGAATAATAAGGAAAAGGAAAACGGTAATTTACTTGACAGGTTGTGGTGACACTCATGGAGCCATCCTCCTCGACACGGTGGATGGTACTCTTGTCTTGATAGAATTTATGAGCCAACTCCGGTGAGCTATGCAGAACGAAATAGTATTTCTCTACAAATACTCTCCCAACCTACCGTCCATAAGAAAGAACTCAAAGCGAGTACGAATAGATCAAATATAATTTTGAACCCAAAAAAAAAAAAAAAAAAAAAAACTCACAATTTGTGTAGAAACTGGGTTGCTGAGATCTCACTGCTGCCATTTTCGGATAAATAATCTTAACTTCAACCAATCATCAGCTTACTGAGAAACAAACATGAGAATTAAGCTCAAAAACAACTATCTGCGTGTTATGAAAAAGGAAGAATTAAGGATTGTGATGACGTTATGAAAAAGGAAGAATTAAGGATTGTGATGACGGGAGAAAGAAAGGAAGGATCATTAGGCATAATAGGATTCTTAACATTTGAAACACGGAATTAAAATAAACTATGATAAGAATAAAAATCTTATTTGGAAGAGATAAGAATAAGAATCCTATTTGGAGTTGGAGTCTTATTTATTTTGGAATATAATTATATATTTTATTCGAACCAAAAGCCGAAGCATGTAATGTTGCCAAGTAAGCTTCCGAAGCGTGCGAGCTAGCCATGTAGGCTCAACACGTTTTCAAATTATATTAAAGAGGGATGTAAAACTGATAAACAATACAAAAGTTATTAACTTGTAAAATACATTTACAATTCAATAGTTATATTAAGAAATTATATTAAAATGCAATTAATATATGTAACATGACCATAAATAACCAACATATCTATGGAAAATCCGGACCTAATTAATTATGGATTGGAAGTAAATTAAAATCTATTCAAACCTAATAACAAAGCATGTAATTTTACCATATAGGATCCCGAACATGCGAGTCTGACACTTAGGCTGAGCACGAATCAATAGACAGGGGAGGGGATAGGGGATTAGAGGTGATACATNACATTTTCATTGAAATAAAAACAATTAAAGAGAGAGAAATAAAATATCTTCCTCTCAATGAAAGCCGTTGAATTTTCTCACCCAACCCACGGATCTCGAGATTCTCTATATTCCGTTTCACAACTCGATAAAAATCCCAACCAATCACAGCTCCCCACCAAACGCCATCTCCCTGCGGGACCCACACTTAAACCAATCTCAGAAAACCCCCGCCGGCGGGCCCCCTCGGCGTACACTCAAGAAGTTTAAAACCCCCCTCTGTAGATCACAGTTGCTCCACCACAGTTCCTCACTCTCTCAACCCCTTTCCCTCATCGGAGAACGTCTCGCCGAACCATGGCTCGCGCCCTGTTGCTGCTCGCACTTGGGGTTCTGGTCGCCTGCGCCGCCGGCGCGCAAGGCAGATCGGAGCTCCTCGCCGACGAAAACCCGATCAGGCAAGTCGTCGATGGCCTGCACGAGCTCGAGAACTCTATTCTCCGGATCGTTGGGAGCTCGCGGCGCGCCCTCTCCTTTGCTCGCTTTGCTCATAGGTCCTTACACACATTTCTATTTGTTTTTCGGTACCTATTTTGCGTGTTTGGATTTACTATTGATGAGATTTTTCTCTTGTAAAAGGTACGGGAAGAAATACGAGAGTGCTGCGGAGGTGCAGAGGAGATTCGAGATATTTGCAGAGAATCTGAAGATGATCAGGTCGCATAACAGGAAGGGTCTCTCTTACACTATGGGAGTCAATGGTAATTTTCTCTTCATATGGGTGTGTATAGTGTATACTGTAATGGTGTGTGCAGTAATCCATTGTTCTTCAGTTTCAGCTCCTTTGATTTAAGCTGATTTTAGTAGCTCCTGCTGTTATTTCTTACATTCTTTTACGTGTTAACTGTTGTTTAGTGGAGCTTAGGTACTGTTTTCAGTTCTTTTATAATCTGTCTGCTATGTTGATTGACTGTCTGGTTTCCAATTCAAACAATCATAAGTTGTATGGACTGAGTGTTGTAGAAACCTTGATAATACTTTAAAGAATGTACTCGTATTTAAAAGAACTCCTTTTTATGTTTTCGACTTTGAAAGAGGTGGTCAGTGTGAGTTTGTGATGATATTTCTAATTGCTGTGCTTTTAGCTAGCTTCTTTTAATTGAATTTTTAATTGATGAATGCAGGGTTCTAATTCTTTGCTAATTTTGTTGTAATAATTTAAATAAACAGCTTTTGCTGACATGACTTGGGATGAGTTCCGCAAGCATCGTTTGGGAGCAGCTCAAAACTGCTCTGCTACCATGATAGGCAATCACAAGCTCACTGATGTTGTGCTTCCAGAATCGGTACTTTCATGCTACCTTGTTCTCATTTTAGTTGTTTAATGGGTTAAACATCTGATTATCAGCAAGTAAATCATATGTTCCCACCAATGGTCCCAAATGATATCTGTAAATAGTAAATAGGACGATGAAGATGTTAGATATATCACATGGTAGCAATTCTGTAAGTAAGATGCTGAAATAGATACTGAAACTATCAACACACTGAACTCTCTGGTTCCATCTTGTGATAGACCTAGAAATTTAGTAGATGATCATCTAGAAACTTAACTTCATTAGTGAGGCATGTGATTATTCGAAACAATAATTCGATTACTTGTGAAATTTGACTTGATTGCAGAAAGACTGGAGAACAACTGGCATAGTAAGCCCCGTCAAAGATCAAGGTAGTTGCGGATCTTGCTGGACATTCAGGTGAGCCCATTTTCAGATCAATCGCTGGGGATTAGGACAAAATTCTTAATCATTGATTGAAAATAATAAATTCATGCTTTATTAATGTATATATGCAGCACGACTGGAGCTCTTGAGGCGGCTTACGCTCAAGCATTTGGTAGAGGTATTTCTCTGTCTGAGCAGCAGCTCGTGGACTGTGCAGGAGCTTTCAACAACTTCGGGTGCAATGGCGGACTTCCGTCTCAAGCCTTTGAATACATCAAGTACAATGGTGGGCTTGAGACAGAGGGTGCTTACCCGTATACTGGGAAAGACGGTGCCTGCAAATTCTCGTCCGCAAATGTGGGTGTCCAAGTGCTCGACTCTGTAAACATCACCCTGGTAAGTTTCTTCTCGTTAGTGCTTATTTATTGTTGCGTTTCTAGTGAAAATTTCATGTGAAGAGCTTTTGGGTTTGGTACGAATATTTTGGTGTTGCAGATTGTACTAGAAAACACAGTATGGCGATGCATTAGATTTTGTGAGATTGTATTTGTGTGTGTATGTATGTATTTTCTTTTCTAAACTTGATTATGAAATCACAGGGCGCTGAAGATGAGTTGAAGCATGCTGTGGCGTTTTCTCGTCCCGTGAGTGTGGCTTTTGAGGTGGTTGATGGTTTTAAGTTGTACAAAGAAGGGGTTTACACTAGCACTAAGTGTGGCAGCTCCCCTATGGTGAGTTCTTTCTACTCCTTAGGGTGCCTGTAAAAATGAATGAATGAATTGTATAATAATACAGTTTTGTGTAGAAGAAATGAATGATATATATGTATCAGAGTTAGAAAGGTAAAGGAATTTGCATAAAACATGCCAATATGTGTTTCATTTTGATATCCAGTGGAACTCAAGTTACTTTAATCTAGTTCTTTTAATAATAAATATGATTAGGCATCCAGGGCCCGCCTTGTTTTCACCTTTTCTTTCCTAAGGATCATAAATCATTAACAAATCATGCTTGCATCAGTCACACAAAGTGAACTTTCTGGCTTTATGTAGAACAGATAAAGAATCACATTTCTCCTTGGTTTATGGTGGGAAAAATATTTGCAGGATGTGAACCATGCTGTCCTTGCTGTTGGTTATGGAGTCGAAAACGGTATCCCATATTGGCTCATTAAGAACTCATGGGGCGTTGAATGGGGTGATAACGGCTATTTCAAAATGGAAATGGGCAAGAACATGTGTGGTACGTCTGTTTTGCCTATTTTAATTTTTTATTTATTTATTTATATTTTTGGTTCGACCTCTTTTGTGACTCCCATGTAAATAGCTAACCTAAATTCTGTGATGAGTTTACTTTTTGCATTACTCTTTATCGACAAAAAATCTTTCTTCAGGCATTGCCACCTGTGCTTCCTACCCAATTGTCGCTCATTACTGCAAAGGGGCGCACGGAACTTCTGATGCCGTTTGCTTGTAAATCGATAATATCCTGTCAAGAGTCGTCGTGGCGTACAAAACAGTAGTATGATTGTGCAAAATAAGATCCAAGAAAAATGGGGGGAACTACATATTGCATGAGATTATAGTCTGTGTGCTTAAATGGCGCTGTGTAAGTTATCTTGAATGCCTGATGGATTATTGTACAACACTAGAAGAAATACTATCGTATTATTTCTTATTAGTTTTCTTGGTTTGCTTTGTGCACATGCATATTTGTTCTAGAACTTTCTGGGGCATCATTTTGAGCCAAGGAAAGTGTATTACATGATTGACTAAAAAACACTAATGACAACACGATTACCATCCAATTGATAATTTTTTAACACAAATTCTTTTGTCATCTGCCTTAATCATTAGATGGATCACTTGTTATACCGTTAAAAAAAAATGCTATCAAATATCATAATGTTGGTTATTTTTACATTTTAACTCACATCTATTCTATCAAATTTCATAATTTTGTTTATTTTATGTTTTAGAATATTCTATTTCAATTTGAAAATATACACGTGTTGAAAATGTATGATTGCCTAACCGATAAGGCATGCCTAGCAAGAGCGTTGCAATTTTTTAAACAATAATTTTAATGTTATGTTGTCTATCGTTAGACAAATATATATTTTAATATATGTACGTTTTTTCACACTCAAATGTCATATTTTAAATTTTAAATTATAATATAAGCAAAAGTATGAGTAATTCATAGTTTAAAAATGTAGTTTTATTAGATAGCGTAACAATAGCATAAATAAATACTTTTACACTCATAATGTCATACTTTAAAATATAATAAAATAAAAATATGACAATTCATAGTTTATATATATAGTCTACTAGTTAGGCAACCTGATAATATCATTTATTGTAAAAACGTAAAACAATCTAATGACAACTATATTTAGCGGGTAGTTGATTTATTCAGTTGGTTAATTGTTGTCCAAATTATAATTATATTTTGTTATTTGTAAAAGTCTATCGTTTCAAAAAAAAAAAAAAATAAAATAAAATATCACTTTTGTTTTCAAAAATTGTCAGCAAACAGGAATATTCCTAAATGGATGCTTATGTATGTTCCACAATTAAATACTAAACCAATCCTGAAACTCCATGTTACAACTTACATCTATTAGTTTTGTAATTTCTACAAACGATAAAGGTCATTTTAGTAATAGGCTGTGATTTATGATACAGTTGATTCTAGTATTACAAAAGTCAATGGTAGCATCTTGTTAGACGAGATTGACAGAGTTTGTGTCCATTGGATGATGATTAAGCACCTACAACAAGTCAAACTCCAGCTTTGACTAACATTGTTTTTGTTTACCTTTTTTAAGGAAAGAGGCTCCGTCTGACCTATCAATCGTCATGCTTTGCCTAACACGAAAATTAAATCCATTTTTTGGGTCAAATTGCACTAAGTTCTCCTAGTAACATGATGCACTAAAGATGCAATTTGCATGTAAAATAAAATATGCTTTTATCTTAATGTGTAAATCTTTTTTCCCAAAAAAATTACTATTAATTTCCATTACATATTTTTACCTTAATTTATCAAGGTATTTTTTTTTTAAAATAAACGTCAATGAATATCACTCAAATTAATATTAGTATATGTATACGTATCGATTTGTTATTTTTTTTATTTTAAATTACATATATATTCATTGCTGAATTCTATCATATCAAATGTATATTTTTTATGTTACTATTTTTCTCCTTGAGTTTTCTTTTATCTAGTTAAATGAAAATTTCCAACAAAAACGTATACGAGGTGTTTACACTTATATATATAATAAACTACTAATTGTACAATATCCGTATTATATGGATGTTAATTAAAAAATTTATACCAATAGTAGCCTAGAATATAGAATTTTTAAATTCAAATTTTAAATATTTTTTAATTTATTTAAAAGTGACATTCATTATATGTACGACTCAGTTGTCTTATATTATCATAATAGATAAAATCATATCATACAATTTTCTTGATAGAAAAATTTATTTAATTAATAAATATTAATATTATTATTTTTTAATTATGAATAATTTGACAATTGAATTATTATTCATAGAGGTAGATATAATTTTTATATAATGAAAAGACTAATTATTCTTTCTTTTTATATGTCAACCAGTAAAATAAATCAACAAAACTAATTATTTCTTTTCATAATCTTTGTTTTTATTTAACGAATTGAAAATTTATTTTACATTGGAATTGGTGTAATTATGTACTACTTAATATATAATTTTCCGTCGTCCTCCAAAAATTTGAAGCATTACGTATATATATATATATAATGATTAAGTATTTATTAGAAATATTATATTAAGTTTTTCATTAAAAATTATTATCAAAAGAGAAAAATTTTATATAAAAAAACAATGTACAAATTCATGCACATCAATTTTAAGCTGGTGTCATTTAAGAGACTTGATTTTATTTACAAACTAAATTTCGTTTTAAACATATTACCAAAATTTATATTTTAACATTAATAATAAAATAAAATTTATTGTAATAAATTATGAATAAGAAAACGGATAAAGATGTTAATTAGTAGTATTATTGAATAATTAGATAATTATGAATTAAATTTTTTCGAAAGATACTTATTTTAAAATCTGTGAAGTTAGTAAAAAGTTAATAATAACTTTAGATTGAAATATTTTTATTTTAAATTATATGTTAATATATATCTCTCATTCGATTTTATAAACTTTTTTATAATATCGAGTATGTTAATTTCATTTTATGAGGTCGAAATCCTTTTCAAGATCGATGCACCTCACCAGAAACTCTCTTTTATTTTCAATTAAAAAAAGAAGAAGAAGAAAAATGAAAGATAATATTTTTAATTATCCAATCTGCATATAATATTAAATTTATTGTCTGGATAAAGATGTGTCGATTAATATATAGATTCCACATTTTTGCTACTCCCATTCTCTCCACCTATACATACACACAGCTAATGTATCTATAGACAACAGTGCAACAGCATGTCGACGGCCTTGCAGAGGACCAGCTCCGGCGACAGCGATCACTGGATCGAAGGCGCGGGATTCGGTCACCTCAACATGGCGCCAGCTTCCTCGATCTACATCCCGCCGGAGTTTTCCGCCGCTGATCGGAGGTTCCCGGCGGCGCCGGAGCTGGAAGATGAGGATCACCACGATTCGTTGTCTTCCTCAACCACTTCTTCGATTGGGAAAAACAGCGACGATTCTACGACCGGCGTCGGAGGAGATGGGGAGGAGGTGCAGAGTGAATACAAGGGAGGACCATTGGACAGTTTGGAGGCTTTGGAGGAAGTTTTACCTATGAAGTACGTGATTTTTCCTCGTCTGTTTTCCTTGCTTGATTGATTATGCAATTTTCCTTTTCTCGATTAGGATTTCTGTAAAATTAGGTTAATTTGATCGTCTTGTATTGATTCTGGTTTTGTTATTATACTTCTTTAGTCCTAGACATCTTCTGGATGCATTTTCTGCCATTTTTTCTTCTAATTTTTGGGTCTTGTGAAAGATACTATTTACTAAATTAATTTTAGAATGTAATAAAGACAAAATGGAACAATAGAATTAATAAATGAAGAGGGGCGTGAACCAAAGATAAGAGCAAATTGGGGTGTTTGTTATTTAACAAACCTGGAATTTTAAGCTATGGCTATTATTCATATGAGCTGTTGTTTAGACCATTTAGAAATGCTTTGTCATTTTTCACTAGTTGTGAAAAATCACTACTACCCAATTTAAAAATCACTTTACCAACTTTTTTATGAATTTCTTGAGTTTGCAAATGAATCAGATTGGCTAATGAGTGATATTGATTCTTTTTCGTTTCGGCAATAATAATGTATTAATAATGTCTTGATGGTCTGCTTGATTCAGGAAAAGCATATCCAATTTTTACAGCGGTAAATCAAAATCTTTCACCAGCCTTTCAGACGCAGTAGCTTGCCCGTCCATCGACGACATCACTAAACCGGAGAATGCATACACCAGAAAACGCAAGAATTTGATCGCATTCAATAATATTATGGAGAAAAATCGCAATAGCATATCGCGAGGCACAAAGAGCGGCATATCAAAAAGGCCCAACAGCTGTAGAAGCATGCTGGCACTTGCGGCAGCTGCAAATGTCTCTGAATCTAACTCTGCTGAAACCTCTTGCTCCTATTCATCTTCACTGGGTTCCAGCCGACCTCCTTTGCCGCCTCATGCAAGACGAGCTTTGCAGCCCGAGCCTTTGGTATTTCCCCCTGCCAATAAGCTTTCTTCTTTGCGGTCTTTCTCCTTATCTGATTTGCAAGGTGATGGTGCAGATGAGGATTGTAAACCCAATTGTGCTGGAGCATGGATCAATAAAGATGACCACAATTCTATAAAATAAATTTCGCCTTACTGTTGGTCGTTCAATGAGTCCACAATAGATTTATGTTCTTGGATGTGGAGTCACTTGTGCTTTTCTTCTCTTTTTTTCTTTTCTCCTTTCGATTTAGTGTAATGTATTTCTGCTCAATATAGTTATAGGCATGTGGATTCCCGGGGCACTTTCAGGATGTAATGACTGAAATACGTAATTTTAGTGTTTGTTTCACGCTATGCTCTGTTATATATCTGAATAGGATACCTGTAAATTACTATTCTTGTACAACAGTTCCTTAAAAGTTCTTTGAGCAGTCATATATGTGGTCGTCTGTAAGAATGTCAGTATTTCTGAAACCTTGAGCTTTTCTTGGGAAGGTTGGCTGCCGCCATTGTTGAGAGTGCTCATTATGAGAGCAGCTTGTCTCAACTAACATTTCTTACTTATATTATCGTTTCTCAATTCTTGCTGGGTTCTGTGAATCTATTTGATTCTTTTATCAATCAATTTCGGTATCTTGACCAGTACCAGATGCATGCTGGTTGCTACTACAACTCCCCAGCTTTTGAGAATGCCGATGGAAATAAAACATTCAGTGTAGAAATTCCACTTTCCTTCAAAATTGTAAGGAACATTGTACGTTGAGGAGTGCAGTTGATGAGTTGTGATCGTGTATTCTCCATAAGGTACGGTTTACTATTTTTGACATGGGTTCATGGATTAGATTCCAACCTCATTCTTTTAGCATTCTTTTGTTCCCACTCATCTATTATCTATTATGTTTGACATGGGTTCACCGTTCATGTATGAAGGGTTTATTTCTTTTCATCCTTCCTGATATGGATTTCTTGTCGATGTATTTTTAATAGAAGCCATGTGATTTTAAACATTTTGGGGATACTAATTCTAGTGTAGAAACATTTCTGGTGGAGGAAAAGGATCCAGGGACCAGAGGTGCAATTTCTTTTATTTCTTCGCCTTTCCTCACCCCCGACGTGTGTACACGTTCTTCTGGGGCTCATTGACCAAAAATAAAAATTTATGATACTCGCCCATCGGGTGAATATAGGTCCTCGACCTATTTATTAGAGACTCGTAAAACAGATATTCTGTCTGTATTACAAGTTTTTTTTTACCCCCAGTAAGTCTCTTACATTTTTTTTCCCCCTATTTTTACACTTTGCTGATCGCTTTTCCCTTAGGAGAACAATTTTAATAAATTTGGAGTATCTTTTTATCTCAGATCTGTGATTTTACATCAACTGCATTCTTACAAGATTTTGTGCCTGAACACGAATTCCATGATTGTTTCCCTACTGTTCCGGCAGCCCCTCATCAGCCCTTTCTCTGATGTTAAGAATCAGTAACATTTTCTGGCATTCTTATTACTCACGACAGGATTGGTTTGGCCACCAGCCGGCTTCAAGTTTGTTTGTATGTTTTTATTTGTATGAGCTACTAGAATGCAAATGAATGAAGCACTTACATGGGTACGGAATACAACCAAGATACAATACAAGAACGTGAAATATTATAAAATTTAATACTGGTACGAACAATTTATTATAAGTTTTATATAAATTTAAATACATGCACATGTAATGAAAATTAGAAAACTTTTCTTAGTTACAATTAAAAACTCAAATTGTTCAACTTTATAGAAATACAACCATATAGAAAATCGAATGGAAAATCAAGCAAGACCAACGATAATAGAGAATTAAAATTCGATAATCGAATGTATTTTTTAAATTACACATTTTACATAATATATCAACATCTTTTCGAATATCTAACTATCTATCTATCTATTAATCTATATCTGTATATTCATATCTCTCTATCTATCTATCTATCTATCTATCTATCTATCTATATACTATTATAAAAGGACGAGTGATTTTGTAAAAATATAAATTGCCTAAAAAATACTATAAAAGGACGAGTAATTTTGTAAAATTATGAATTGTCTAAAAAATTCTTACTTTGACATATTTTTAATGACAAATTAGTAATACACTAATACCCATATTATCTTATATTTTTAATTAACAAATGAACTACCTAAAAAATCCTTAATTTGACTTATTTTTAATAGCAAGTTAGTAATACACTAATATTCATCATATCTTATATTTTTAAATAATAGTTAATATTTAATAAATTAAATATAGATACACAAACACAACATTCCAGATCTCCTAAAAATCAACTTCAATGGTCTCATACCATTATTTATCACGAATTTGCTTCTTTCACATATCTGTCAAACTATTTTTCTCATATCTCTGAAAAATCATCCATAACAACAAAGTTTTTAAATGATATATAGTTGATGCTTTTAAAAACATCCTTATTTTAATATAATTTTAATGTAAAATCGCAATCATATTTTATAATTCTAATATATAATTTTTTTAAAGAAAATTGATGCAACAAAAATAGCATAGTAAATACTTATAAATGAATCCAAATATTTTCAACTATTTATTTACAATTTTAACAAATCGATAAATCTTGGTAGAAAATGACAACTTAATTGAGACGGGTAACTTGTATATAATCAATAATTCTAAAGATACATACTTACCATATATTAAGAGAAGATACCTAAAATTTTACTGAAATCATGACACGTGAAATATATACATAATCAAATAAACTAGAAAGTGGACAGTTCATTTAACTACTTCATTATTTAAGAAAATAAACTCTTTTATTTAGAATTAATATAGAAATTAATGAACCTTAGTTTATTGGATAATAATAGTGTCGTAGCTATGGTGTCGGGTACTGAGGATAGTTTCGGTCTCTATATCTATATCTATACTATATTATACTATACTTATTATCTATATCTATTCTATATCTATACTATTATAAATGTGCCAATGAATCTGTAAAAATATGATATGCCTACAATATCCTTACTTTTTCATTTTATAATGACAAATTTGTAATTTAATATCCATTCTATAATACTGGTGTTAAACCCGTGCGATGCATGGGGAATGTGGTTCTATAATAATTATTTTAGTAAGTTACTATTAATTAAAAGTTTATGTTTTTGCAAATCAATTTACAAAAAAATAAAATTTATTTCAATATTATTAAAAATATCATTATAAATAGATTGATGGTATGACCAGCATAGTAATATTCACAAACTAATATTTTTAAACCAAGATCAATATTTACGCGTCCGATAGCACAAAATAGGATTTTTCACTTACTGGAAAATATCTTTTTCTCTCCACAGGATTCTTCTTGGTATCTCTATCATTTGTTTAATGAAACCTTGAATTCGGTCTCTCTACGAACACATGAGCAAGATGTAGAAGGTTAGCAAAATATTTATAAATGAATTTGTTGTTCTTGTTAAAATATAAAGAAGAAACATCCATAAATTTCAATTTATCCTTTAATCCACATGTATTTTGTATTTTACATTTATGTCGCATGTTAGTAATTTTTTTCATACAAACCACATGTATTTTGTATTTTACATTTATGTCGCATGTTAGTAATTTTTTTCATACAAATACGAAATGATTATTATTATCACATATTAAACCATTAAAGCTACAATTGAAAAACTTTACTGTTGTGTACAAATTGTTATATTTTACCGAGTACCGAATCAAAGATTCGTTTCCCGGGTCGATCTCTCGAGGAAGGCGGTTCGGAATTTAGCTTTGGTAATGATAACACATAAAAAGAAAACAAAATCCTAAACACTCTAATCAGAAAAGAGGTTTGAATAATTACTGTCTAAAAAAAAACAATAAAGAGCAATAATCTACCTAAAAATGTGGATGGAACAAAGATGGAGAAACTAGGGAATCGGGGATAATTAATTCAAGTTCTAGCAAATCCGGGCAATTAATCGTTCGGTTCGAGATTGACACTCTCGCTTAAACATCTAGAGGTTCGCTCCCAATAACTCTTCGTAACAAGGGATTGAACATAGACGAACAAGCTTGGGCATACAACATAGGCCAAATATCCCAATCCCAATAACTTTTCGTAACAAGGGACGGGTCATCGACAAACATGTATTTCAATCTCAACCCATAGATTATTCAGTTACGAAATCATCTACCTCATGCGAGCCTAGGTCTACGACTTCTCCCCTTTCGGTTCTAAAAGTCGCTAATTAACTAGAAGGTGATTAATCAACTAATCATATAGAATTGACAAACCCTA